CATCGACGTTTGTCATCCTCACACCGACTTCACATCGTTTTCATGAAACAAAGTTAATTTAACATCAATACCGAGTAGGGAAGAGGTGTCCAAAGTGTGGCCCGGGGAACATTTGTGGCCCCTGAAATGATTTTCGTCTGCTCACCGACTAAAAGTCAAGAACGATAAAAATTGGGCCGATTAAACCAGAAATTAACAGTCGACCCCAAAATTCTCAAATTGATAGTTGAGGATTTATGGATTTCATTAAAATTTAGCTTATCAAGCAGGTGAAGCTTAAAAAAATCACAAAAAAACTAATTTTTGCATTCTTAATTTAATGAATATTGTGGCACACAAGTTGTTTAAATTTGGCTAAAGGGACGAAAAGTTTGGAGACAACTGATGACTATTTTATAACTGCTTAGAAAAAGAAAAGGAGATTTTTTTCTTTTTTTTTTTTTCTTTTTACAAAAATATGAGCCAAATTTAGCCAAATCTATCCCACTTGAGTTTCAGGTAGAACATATTTAATTTTTTAAATCTTAAATATAAATTATATATATTCTGTACAATTTTGGCTTAATTATTGCTCTGATAGTTTTTTTAATTTTTTTTAAGTCAAACAAAACACTCCAGTTAACGATTTTCTGCCCTACAGTGTTGCCATCTTTCTTCTAAAAGTGACCAACTATACTTCCTTGGTCTATGGCCAACCTGCAATTACACAACTGTACATCTTTGAAAAGCAGAAGTAGAGCCTCCTGGACAACCAACAAGAATGCATTAAGTGGTTTGTGCTTGGTAGGTCAACAACGAAACACTTGTCTTTTCCAGCAGCCATTGTACTGCATATACAGCAGTAAAACCAGCTGACCAAATGTGCTACTTCTCCTCTTGGGTTGCTAGGTAACGTTACATTCAGAAGGTCTTTGAAATGGCTCATTTTCCAGACAACAAAAACCAAATTTATTGCTAAAAACAGATGATTTTTTTAGGAGTTTGAGCTGTTTTTAGAAGTAAACCCATATGGAAGTACAAAAACATACAAAATATAAATTTTTCATATTAGATCCCCTTTAAATAACCTCCATCCCACCTGGATGAAGAAAATTTTTGTCTGTTTCAGTAAAGAGCAAAAACAAACAAGGCACACCACAGGTTTGTCTTTATTTTATTTAAGTCAATCAAAAACACCCGTGCAGATTCTTTATTCTTTAATTTAATAGAAAACATACAGACATTGGTCTAAAATAAAAAATATATATATCTCTGAATAAAAATATGAATCATTCAGTTGTCAGTGTTGCAGAGAAAGATTCAGCTGCTTTCCCTTCACCGTAAACATCTAAACCGACTCCAGTCCTCGAGGTTCGGCAACCTGCAGCTTTTAGATCCAATAACCCAAATTTTTTGTTTTTTACTCAGACAAATGTATCTAAAAGAAGCAGGACACCAGAGTTGAAGCTCTCTGATCTAAACCCATAGCTAGATAAAGCGGCTCCGACATGAAAACCTTTTTCCTTTTTTCAGAGAGCAGCTGGACTCGATGATTTAACAGCCTGTTGAGGTTTCTAAAAACCTCTCTGCAAAAATGCCTTCAAAATAAAATCATGTTTCATTTTTATTCTCTAATCAAAGAAGAAAGAAACTTATTTTTTTCTTCTGGATTCAGCAGGCAGCACAAAAGATGCAGCAGCGCATTTCAACCACCAGGCGGCAGCAGATTCAAGGCACGTCAAACAAGTTAAAGGACCAGTACAAACAAAACAAGCTGCAGCTAAATAACGGTGGAGCTCTTTCTGAATCATGACGTTTTAACTTGACTAAGGTAAGAAACAGATTCTATTTTATTCCTTCAGGCGCTGACGTCATTTCCTGACCACCTTTATGTCCCACCAAAGATGGCAACCAGCTCTCTACAGACAAAGTTTGTTCTTAAACAGTCAAGCAGTCAGTGGATCTGAATAAACACAAAACATGACAATATGTGAGTTTTGTTTTTAGAGGCACCTTAAATCTTTACAAACCAGGAAGTCCGTACTTGCAATCTAGGAGATAAATCACATTTATCACATTTTTGGTTTTTGAAGATTAAATTTTTTGGAAAATCAGGATTTTCTTTCCCCTCATCAACAAGCTCTTTGGGTTTCCGTATTTCGGAGTGACGTCAGCTCAGCGAGAGCCGCCATCTTGTTTTACAGCTTCTATTTATTTGGACTTTTAAGTTTTTATTTTTCAGTTATGAGAAAAAGTCATAATATTAGAATAAAGTCGTAATTTTTTGAGAACTCCCCTACAAAAATAAAATGCTGTTCATCTTTTGAAGTTATACTTTGGTTTAAGTTTTACAGATGAGGAAGTACTTCATTTTTTAACACATCAGAATCAAATTATTATCAGGACTTTGAAAGGATGGTGTAAAGAACTGAGTCTTATTTTGAAGAAAACTGCAGACTGGTCACGTCATATTGAAGTTGTTTCTTGTATTTTCAGGTAAAAGACTTTATTCAGTGAACTGAATTTATTCTCGTAATTAAACACATTATCAAAGCCTGGTCCTAATACTCAGTAGTATAAAACACAGAAGGAATGACTGAAATAAAAGACACTTTTTTGACGTTTTTTTTTTTTTTAAGAAAACAAGGGAAAATGTAATTAAAATCAGATTTAGCTGTAAAAAGAAATCGTCGCCATCTTGCCCAGCCTGCTACAATCAGTGCCTTTTTAACGTCCCCTGTTTAAGGCTCCTCAGTTTTTCCACATGGATAAAAATAATAATGTTTAAGCATCTCTAACTTTCACAGTTTAATGTTAAAGACACGTTGGTAAAGATGGAGAGTGTGTGGCGTCCAGCAGAGACAAACATACTGGTGCTGGAAGCAGCGGCTGGAAAGATGGAGGGAGGATGCAGCAGCACAACGAAAAACACTTAAAAAACAAAAACAATCCATCAGGACAGGTGCAGGAGTTTGGTTCAATACTCTGGTTTCCTGTCTGCGGAGAAACCGCGACCTGGAGCAGCGATTTGTCCGGTTAAAGCAGAATCTTCTGGGTTTGACTGAGTGTTTGAGGCACATTCACACACACGCAGCCGGCATTGTCCTGCAGAGCACCGATAAACACCAAACTAATCCTCTGCTGTTGCGTAATCTTGAACTGAGCCACTGCAGAGTAGCGGCGGACACGATTCGCCTGCGTCTGTTTGGGTCTTAGCTCCGGTGGCGCCGCCAGACTGAGTGGCTGAGTGTTTAATATTAAATAAATAGACTCATTAATAATTCATAAAGCTTGGCTCAGAACAGTGAGGCAGGATGATGGATGTGTGTAGATTAATGAAGGACTGTTTAGTCCTGCTGAACAGTCTGACATTACAGCGGCTTGCCTGGTAAAAAGCATCTTAAGATTTTAAACTTTGAAATGAAATGCAAACAAAAATCAGTTTAATAGAAACACGCTAATTAAAACAAAAACGCACTTTTTTCGATTTGAAAAAAGTGTTTCATGCCAATCATTTTCTGCCGTATTTTCCTAAATATTCACGTCACACAAGTCATGTGGTCAACAGCCGGACGTTACTACTGGCGAAAACCACGAAGAAGAGACAGGAAGTAGAAGGAGGATTATTTTTATATATATATATATATATATATATATATATATATATATATATATATATATATATATAGTTGTGTATCATTTCAACATGTTGAATTAATTGCTCTTCTGTAAAATTGTTAATTATTTTACTTAAGGAAAAAACGTCCTGCTTCAAGTGAAATAATCCGCGAGTTGAACTAAATTTAATTTAAATCAATATTAAGGAATGATTCACTTAAAACAAGCGTCTAGATCTCGTTGATAATTTACTTGTAAGTTAATTTTGTCTTATTTCAAGCACAGAGTCGCTCCTCGGTTAAAGCGTAGTGTACATGTTTCAGTCCAGTCGTGTATTTATACGACACCAGGATGTTAAAGTGAAATTTCACTTTAACATCCCGCTGAGCTGTGAAGTTTTCTGCAGGTGTGAAAGCGTGTATGCGCAGAACACACAGCTGTAGCGTTTATTCTATGATGGTGTAGTGGAGCCATTGTAGGTAGAATAAAGGAATTAGATTTGCACTAAAAAACTCAGAAATTATCTAGAAAAAAAACGTAGAAATTTTTGTGGATTTGCTAGAAAAACTCAGAAATTTTGAGATATCAGAAATTATTTAGAAAAAACATGAACATTTTTGAATTTGAAAAGTCGATGGTTTTTGACTTTTGAAACTCAGAAATGCCCTTGTTTTTTATAGAATATTTATGAGATCCATCCGTCCATCCATTTTCTTTACACCCTTGTCCCTTAGTGGGGTCGGGATGGGTGCTAACGTTCCGGGCAAGAGGCGGGGTCACCCTGAACAGGTCGCCGGTCTGTCGCACTATTTATGAGATTTATTACATCATTTCTGATGTTTAAAAGTAAAAAAAAAAATTGCTAGAAAGCATGTAGAAATTTTTAGATCAATCTCAGAAATTTTCTAGAAAGAAACTTGGACAATTCTCAGTTTGAAAAGTCGAAAATTTTTCACTTTTGACAATTTTTATGTTTTTTTTTTCTCAAAAATTTCTGAGTTCAAATAGTTGAAACTTTTCTAGAAAAAAAATTTTAAGATTAATCTCAAATTTTTGAGAAAGAAAACTTATAAATTTCAACTTCTAAGTTTTTTCTAGTAAATTTCTGAGATTAGTTGAATGTATGTATTTGTTCGATCTACAATGACCCTGATGTGCCGTTGTATTATTCTGCGCAGAGCAATGGCGGACAGCCTTGTGCTGTTTCACTACTGAATCTGTTCAACTTAACATAAGTTCTGCTAAAGAGGTGGAAGCTAAGCAGCGCATGCGCGTTGACAACATGCTAACATCACGGCGCCATCTAGTGGCCTGACATGACAACTACTGCTGCTGACTCAAGGCTTTTTGGCGACACAATTAACATCTGAAAATACCGTCAGTTTCCAGGCAGTTGTCTCTTGTAAACGTAGCCTAAGATATTTGATAAAAAAAAAACAAAAAAAAACTGGTAAGACTTGGTGTTTTTGTTCCTCTCATCCGCTGATCACCCTCCCCAGGCCTGCGTGCACCTCGGCCTGAATCGGGCCGTACTCCACCACCTCCCCATCCACCGTTATGATCCCTTTCCCGGCGCCCGGCTCCAGCCTGAGCGCCCGCACCTTCTCGTGCACCAGATGCTGGCAGTTCGTGTCCAGATGTGCGCCCTTCTCCATGGCCAGAAACAGTCGGAGCAACGCGCTGCGAGAAATCCCCGCCGTGACGTAGAAGAGATGGATGACGCCGTCGGCCAGGCGGGCGTTGGGCGCCGCCAGGAGGTCCTCGGCCAGGTGGGACTGATGCATGGCCAGCATGAGGACAAACTCTTCCTCCGGCACCAGCACCCAGTCGGACGGCAGCGGCTGATCCAGAGGCGGCAGCAGGGCGTCGGGAGGCCCGGGGAGGGCTTTGGCGGCACTTCTAGGCGATCTGCCCTCTGACCTCCGCAGCTTCAGGGAGTTGTTGGAGTGGCAGGTGTTATTTGGGAAGTCATCTTCCAAAGTTTGAGTCAAACAGGAGGCGGGATTTCTGCAGCATGCCGCCTCTCTCCTCTCTCCTCTCTTGTCCATGTGGCGCCCCCTGCTGGCGGGGAGGTAAGCCAGCTTACCCTTGTAGATGCGGAGAGACGCCAACCTCACCAGCGTGCCAACGGTGAACCGGGCTGCTCCGGCGTGGCGATACTTCTCGCTCTCCACGTCGACGTCGGCCACGAAGCCCCAGGCCAGGGAGAGGAAGGAGAAGAGGCGCTGGCCGGAGGAAAGATGGAGGGAGACCAGGTCCATGTGGGACACCAGTCCTCTGCAGAGCAGGAAACCACAGCTGACCAGCAGCTCCTCGCCTCTGACCTGAGAGACGCTGAAGGAGAGAGAACAACTCCACTTTATTTGATCACTGAATATTCTGTAGTTTTCACTGAAGGCTGGCCAATTAATCATTAGCCTGGCCTTTGGCTTCCTGTTCAAATCTCACGCCACACTCAGTTTGAGATTTCTCCCATTCACTTGGATTCCTATGGTAAAATTCCAACGGAGCCAATAAGAGAACAGAAGTTATGAACGATGACGTTGATTTTTCAGTTTTGTAGTCTCCCTGTAGTTTGAGCCGTTGTTTTTCAGAGTGGGGGCTGATTAGCACAGCTGATTTTATTTGATTTTGTAAATCTGGACAAACTGGTTGACCTTTTATGACCTCTGGAAAAATTCAAAAATCTCTTTAAAAAACATATGAACACAAAGAAAAAAATTTCTGCACAAACATTAAACACTAAATTCATTTGATTTGAAGAAGGATAAACTTCACTGGGGGATTTTAATCATTTAAACTTCATTAACAAACTCTTTTTAATATTGATTTTTATTGATTTCTAATGGATCTGATGGAAAATAAACATCTTGACACAGTGACTACTACATTTTGATGTGTGCAAAAAAGGAAAGTTACTGAAATTAATTTTATTCAAACATCCTATAAACAGTTTTTACCTTATTATGAGGTTTTTGTTAATGCAGAAAGAGTAAATTAGGATCTTTTTAAAGAAAGTAAATAGTTTTACCTTACAATAAACTATGTCTGCTAAGATATTTAATTTTCTGTAGAAAACCGAAGTATTTTCTTGTGGAATCAAGTTAAATTTGATCCAAATAACAAATCTCAGTTTACTTGCTAACAGCATCACAGCAACTTGAAACATATTAGATCTGTTTTGATTCGGCCTGGGATGAGTCAAAATGAAGCACGTCTTTTGATAATCTTCTGAATCAAACAGGATTACTGTTTGTGTAATTTTAAAGGTGCAGCATTTGGTCCAGAGAACGGAGGTGATGCAACGCGGTGAAACTCGCCTCTGTCCAGACTTCCTGCTAACAAGCTGCTGCCTGCGATTCTAACTTAACCTGCAACTAAAACAGAACATATTTCATAGTGATGTTTCAATGATGCACTCTAATAATAATTTAAAAAACACATTTATTTACAGGATCTATCGAGTCCAGACTAAACACTCTAAACTGGGGGTGTCAAACTCATTTTTGTTTTGGGCCAAATTAAGATCATGAATGTTCTTTAAAGGCTGGTTGTGCCAGAATGTATTGATAAAACCTGATCACAAACTGTTAACATATCAATAAATTCTTACAATTAAATCTATTATTGAACATCTTTTCAGTCCCTCCAGGATTTTGTGTTTGTGGTGCTATTTTGGAAAGATTTATGCTTATTTATGACGGTAACTGTGACTTTCTATTACTGACAGTGTAGATCATGGATTATAATCTGGCATCAATTAAAGATGAAGCAGCTGTTCAGTTCAAGTAAAAAAGTTTTTGACAATTTTTGAGAAAAATCTGCTGTAAACTCCCAACTGTAAGTAAAAAAGTGCATGGATTTGTTGATGTTTGCCTGGATTTATAATAATTCTCAAGAAAGTGGAAGGACTGATTGATATTATTTGCCAGTAAACAGATAAAAGCTGTATTGATTTGATTGATAACATAATATTTAAGCACATTTAGTGTTTAGTCTTGTCCCTGAAGGACCACATAAAAAGCTGTGGCGGGCCGGATTTGGCCCGCGGGCCTTGAGTTTGGCACATGTGCTCCAAGCGTCAGCGGACGACTCGACCCGCCCTGCTTGTTCTGTTTGCTCACAGAAACACATGAAAGGCCGAGAACGGCTCATTGCATAACAGCAGACAGGTTGTAGCTGTCGCTCAGTTAATTCTCAAAGCCGCAGCATTCAGCGGGGAATAATACCAAATGAAATCTGGCTCAGGCCGCAGCGCACACAGGTTTTCTGGAGAGTCAGAGGAGAGCGAACAATGCCCAGTCTGGACCCTTCGGTTCTGGACAGAGGCGCTTTGTTTGATGAGACGCTGACTGGCACAAACATTCAGGTGATGAATGAACGCGGCAGAAAGAGGAGATTCTGTTTTCACTTATATCTCTGTTTACTTTTGTTAGTTTGTTTCCTGGTATCCCACAGCAGAAACATATGAAACCTTTTCATAGAAGCTGCAGAGAATAAAATAAAGTTCATCTGAGCGCCAGATTTTATGAAGGAAATGGAATAAAACTTTCAAACGGGTTGAAAAAATAACTTGTGTTGCAGTCTGTAACCAAAACTCAGCCCAGAAAGACTCCAGAGGACGAAATATTTTACTTAAAAAAGCTGAAGTGAGCTTTACATAATCTTATCAATCTAATCTACAATAAAGAAATAAAAAATAATATAAAATATGTCAAATGTAATCACCTTACTAAAATAATGTTTTATGTCAATTTTTGCCAAAAGTCGGGTCTTTCTTTTCCAAATGACCTTGGCAAAAAAATAAATAAAAATAAGTATTAATAATAAATACATTATTATATTAATATTATCTAAATATTAAATACATATCTGCTGCTGTTTCTAAAAACTGTGCAGCAGTTTTATTTTTCATTTGTTTTATTTTTTATTTGTTGGAAGTTTGCCTGTAGTTCCTGTAGACTCTACATATTTTTTAAACTTAATTTCAATATACATGATTCTATTTATCTTTAATTTACCTTTAATTTTCCCACTTTAGGACAATAAAGGACATTTCTATTTTATTCTGTTTGCAAGTTGGACAAATGTAGGATTTGCTATTTACTTGGTGCTACCTGCTGTTAGCATTAGCAGTTAGCATTAGAAATGCTTTATGGACATGAGAACAAAGGATGTTATATCTATAATTTTAATATGTCTTAGTTAGTTTTACAAATGCACAATATAGCTCCAGTTAGCTACTGGCTTACTATTTAATTATAGTTTTTATTTATTTCATTAGTTTTAGTTAATTATATACAGCACCATGTTAACTAATACTAAAATCAGCCAATAAACACACTGTAATAATTAACCAGCTGTAGCAGTTGCCAGAGCTTTATGAGACGTTTAATCTTCTAACTTCCCATCTTACCAAGCTGTGCTGCAGTGGTACCTGATTGGTAACTACTACACATTCAGATAAATCTGTTTCATGATTATTTTCTCTTTTATTATATTGGTGCTACAACTGACAGTATTATAAAAATGCAAAGTTCTTTGCATATTTATTTGTAAAATTATTGTTAAAACAGAGTTGCTGTAACCCTAAACCACCAGAAGGTGGAGCAATTCCAGCAGCGTCCACTTCCATCATCTGTTTTACAGCATTTCCTGCAGCTCCTCTCTCATTCTTGGTGCTAAAACAACAACCTGCTGTCGACTGCGCTGCCTCTACGGAGTGAGGAATGCAGAGATTAAATCATATTTTTCATCTTTTTGAAAACTTCGTATTTGTCCTTGAACTTTTCTCTTTGTTCTGGGTGAATAAACTCCCACGGATGATCAAAGCATTAATAATTAAAAGCCATTAGAGAAAAGCGTTTTAGTTTGATGAAGGGCCAGGAGCCTCAGCTGGTCAAACACACCTCCAACCGCGGCAAAGCAACAAGACTGCAGGTTATCTGTGGAGGTGTAGCTGCTTTAACCGCATTAAAAATAACCAAACACCATCTGAAGAAGCTACAAATGAAGAATGACTCATTCTGATGCAGTTTGGGATGATATATTTAGCTAAATGGTTCTTAATTTACTCAGCACAGAGTGGTTTCAGTCTGCTGTAGTATGCTCTAACTGCATACCGGATGAAAGTGTGTGACACACGCTGCTATGCTACCTTTCTGGTTTGACTGGTTCCTATTGGACTCTGCAGTGGTGAACTGATCTCAAATGTTTCCAAATAAGGAGTTCTACCTGTGCAAAAAGAACGACTGAGCATGCAATCAGTGAAGATGGTGGCGGAAATATTCAAAGATTAGATTTTAAATGGAAAAGTGGTGCAGATTGTCATATTTTAAAGAGAATGCTGCTTGTGCTACTAGCTAATAATATATATATATATATATATATATATATATATATATATATATATATATATTTTTTTTTTTTTTTAAATAAGCATGTTAAAGTGATACAAGAAAACAGTGAAAACATTTAAAAATTAATCAAAATAAAGCTCTGAACTGAATAAATAAAGAATGTTTTCGATATATTAGTTCAGATCAAAGTGAAAGACGTGAACCTAATCCCAGTCCAGTATTTTTCGGCTCACCCAGAGTAGTAATGCACAGATGCAGCCAAGGCGTTGCCTGAACCTCCAGGAAGGATACCCAGCGGAGTGCGGACGGCCTCCTCCCAGTCTGGCCTTTCCAGCAGACCATTTATCACCTGAATCACAGAAAACGCAGCTTGGATTAGTGGATTGTCTGCAGCACAGACCTCTGTGCTGCCCACAAAAAGAGTAAATGTTAAAACCATAACAGTTTTCATCATAAACTAAGAGCAGAGGAATGAAAGCAAGTAAACAATATAACATTAGGATTTATGTTTGTCTGTTGGAGTGCAGCTTCAGGTTTATATTCCTGCATATTTGAGATATTTCTCTGCTCAAACACTTGATTCCAGGAAATGAATTACGTCAACATTGCACCATCATGATGTGTGGAAATCTGTCAGGACTTTATCTGAAACTATGTGAGGTGGAGCAGAGAAACATCTAAAGCACCCAGGACAGTGAAACCAAGTTGATTTAATGATTAGTTACCATTTAACCCCATTACATCTATCTAAATAAATATGAAAACATTCTGGTAATATAATTTAACATAAATTTATTTAAATGTGCTAAAAATGGTGGGGAAAATTTTATTCCTACTTGGAAGGAATAAAATGACACCATTGGATATAAGTGATGCAAACTTCATGACTTAGCCTTTTAAATTTTACTCAAGTTGCAGTAACAATCCTACATAATAATATTTAAATCAAAGTCATGTTGTAGTAAAACTACTCATGAAAGTATTTCTTTCTAAAACCTTTACTCCAGTAAATATCATTTTAAAATCTGTTTTCTGTTACATTTAGGTCCGAGTGGTTGGTCAGTTTGTTTAACAACACATGGGTGTCCAAAGTGTGGTCCGAGGGCCATATGTGGCCCCTTCAGTGATTTTTCTTTGGTGGCCTTCAACAACAATAAAAAATGACAGCAGATGGTTGAAACAGATGGAGAGTTCTCATTTTTAATTAATGCTAAATTATTATAAACAAATTAAAATCTTTTCATATTGGAAAATGCTTGACGAAGCAGAAAGTCGTCTGTTCATGACCGTTTGATGAAATAGGAAGACATCTGTTTATGACTTTTACACAAAAGCAGACTGTAGTCAGGTTTAATTTATTAAACTTGACTAAAAGCAGCAAGTATGATCCAAACAGTGAACCAAATTCTGTTGTTACAGCTGACACTTATTTCTTTCTTTAATTTCCCCCTTTAAGAATCCACCATTCTCCATTATGAATAAAAATATTTATATCCTTCTGATGTCATATTAGAGCCATTGTAGAAAAAAACAAGTAAGTTTTGTCCAAAAGACTTTCAAAAGTCTCTGTTTTTTTTCTTTCCTCTTTATTTCTCTGTTTTGTTTTTTGATATACGTACTGTTGAGTTGTTTTTTATTATTTATAATTGCTTACTTTGGGGACTACATTGTTTAATGTGAATCTTGTGTCAAATGTATTACTGCCACTTGTTTTATGTTATAAAGTTCAATAAATATAATGTAAAAAAAACTTTCAAAAGTCAAAAATTGTTAACTTTTTTAAATTTTCAGAGTATTAAACTCAAATATTTGCTAGAAAAAAACTCACACATTTTAAGATTAATCTCAGAAATTTTCTAAAACATGAAACAAATTTTGACTTTTGGAAATTTTCTGAGATTCCAAGATTTCTAGAAAAAAAAAAAAACTCAAAAGTTTTTTCTCGCAAATTTGTGACTTTTGAAGCTCAAAAATGTTCTTGTTTTTTTTCCAGAAAATTTCTGAGATAATTCTCAAAATTTCCAAGTTTTTTAGCGGAAGCTTCTTCCTCCTTTTTCTTTTCCATCTACAGTGGCCCTAACATTAACCTGAAATATTTTTCTGAACTCATTCGTCGCCGGGCTCTTTCTCCATCCAGCTGCAGGGACGGATTTGTCTGTCTGTACCTCGTGCAGCAGTCCGTCTCCTGACATGATGACTAAAGCGTCCCACTGTGACAGGTCAACGTCTTTCACCAGCTCCCGGGCGTGATTCTGCCTCTCTGTGAAACACATGAGCAGAAGAAGAAGAGATGTGATTCAGAGCAGTCGTGTTCTTCCTCTGGCATCGCTGCCCACTCCCAAAACTTCATCACATAACAGGTCAGGGGTCGTCTTCTCACAGGTCAGCCTCCTCATGTTTCAGCCACATTAAACCCTCTGTGAGTGTGTGTGAGTGTATGTGTGTGTGTGTGTGTGTGTGTGTGTGTGTGTGGCAATGGGTCTATTGCAATGTGAGACACAAAAGGTTTGAGATCCAATGTAAGAGTAGATGCGTGGGGCGCTACACTTTTAATCTCCTCTCAGTTCCTAGATTAAGGAACCGCAGAAGGAAGGAAAGTCGATCTGCATCCTTAATGAGGCGTCGACCAAAATGCAGATTAAATTGAAGCTAACTAACTAACTAGAGGCACTTTGTCCCATGGATCTGAGGTTGAATAATTTGAGAGAGCAGAACATTAAAATAAGAACTTTTTCAGTGTTTTTAAACTCTAAAGGAATTAATATATAATGAAACATGATTCCCACTTAGTTTGGAAATGACTGGAATTACATTAAATATAAATACATTTATATTTAGTAACTCTATGAAGGTATTAATGTAACAGCTTCAGATCCGTTAAAAAACTTATTTTTCTGCACCATTGAATCCAAGGCAGGACCACAATGGGTTCATATAAGAAAAACAACAACAAAAAAAAGGATCAAAAAATAGATTTGTTCAAACTCTAGACCAGCAGGTAAGACTTCAAATCAGTGTCAGTCCTTTATCATATCATATTACCTGGTTTAATTAGTCAGGCTATCAGCTCAGGTAGCCAGTATGAAGTCTGCTGCTTAGCAAGCCTGTTGCTAATAACCCATTGACTGTAGTTTCAAACCCTCATAGGTGTGATAGATAATGTCTGCAAATATTTCCAGACAATTATCTGGAAGAATGATTCCTAAAAATCAGAATGAACACCTAGTACACCTAGAAGCAGGATAAAACTTTAAATTGTTTTAAACCACAGAAATGGCATGATAGGAATTTTCTGTGGAACAGTGACTTAAAATTGTTTTATGACTTAAGTAGAAAAAACCTGGGTAGGTAGCAGCTGGCAGCTGAAGCAGCAGGAAGTTTCAGTGTAAGAAAACGTCAGGATTTGCATCTCAAAACAAATGCAAAGTCTTGGCAGTTCTCCTCAGCCAACACGAACCAGAGAGCTAGTTACCTACGAAGGATTTGTTATTTTCCAATGTACACTGCAAAAACAGAAAATCTTACTGTTTTAAGATTTGGCCTACGTCTAGTGCAACTATCTTATTAAATAAAACAAAAAGTAACTTACATTAACTTCTCAGGAAGATATAAAAGCTTATTTTAAGTCAATTATTTCTTAATATTAATAACAACGTGCTAGTTTCACTGGCAGATTATTTTACTAATGACAGGAAAAATAAGTGAAGTAATCTTCCACTGGAACTAGTACTTTTTCCAAAAACAAGTTCCCACATCTTGCATTTGAGTTACTTTTGTCTTATTTCAAGTGTACTAAGATATTTGCACTTGAAACTAGACTAAAAATACTTCAGATTTTGTGATTTTGCTGCATAATTTTTGATCTTCTGCCCTGAATCTCATTCCAGAAGATAGAGAAACAGTTTCCTCCCTTCTCTTGTTAACCTTTCCTCCCTAAAATATGCAAAAGAAATGGCATTGATTCTCTGGTATCGGCTGCAGTCACATCTGAGCACAAACTAAACTCTGAAAACAGATCAATTAGCAAAAAGCCAGTACACAGCAAATTCAGAAGTGTCAGATTTCCAGTGCAAGTGTTGTATGTTAAAAATACAGTGTTAATTCAACAACATGAGTGTTAGTTTCCCTAACACTCACTAAAGATGTCCAAAGAGTTAAACAAAAAGCAATCCAGTCCAGTGTTGATTTCTAAATTAACTCCAACAGTCTAACTCAACACTCAGTCTGGTGTTGATTTAGAAATCAACATCAGGCTGGAAGTCTTGGCGAAAACAAGAGCAGCACCAAAGACACTTCACCATCAGTGATCACAAGACCATCCATGGCCACTTCCAATAAACTTTCAAAGCACACTTCACCTTCAGTGCAAAGTACCATGAATGAATGACCTTTGTTGTATATTGCTGTCAGTGCTGTTTGATGTTTTGAAATAAAAGTGATTACAAACTGCAACTGGTGCTGGTGATTTTGTAGCCTCTAATGCGACATCTAATGTCTTTTAAAATGAATTTGGGGATTATTGATGAGCAATAGTTTCTGGGGAAAAAAAGGTTTTAATTGCTCTAATGGATTTTATTTGGTAGTAAATTGACAAAAAAAAGTGGGTAACAAGAGAAGGGGAAGACCGGGAAGCGGACCCACGACAGCCGCATTGAAAACTAGAGCCTCCATATGTGGGTTGTGCTTAACCCCTGCGCCACCACAGCACACCCTGCCAGTAGTATTTTAAAACTCAGATTTTTATATTAATATATACTTTACACCATTCTGTGTTAGATTAACACTTAGTGTTAACTTTTGACAATATACACTAGTTGTAGGGTAGATTAACACTGAAGTGTATTTGATTTCAACTACTGTGAGTGTTGATTCAACTCTATCACAAATAACACTTTCAAAAGTGTAACTTCTACACCATCCAGAGTGGACCAAGATAGACACTTTCAAAGTGTTGAATTTAACTCTGTAGGAGTTGATGGAAAACTTCTAAATTTGCTGTGTAGCCGATGCAAAGTGCAGCGATGGGATTTTAGAAGGTAAACATTGTAACTTTTGATTTCAGTTATCCTTGTCTCTGCATTATTTAAGACTCTCTGATAACATTAAGACATAAAAGGGTTCTTCCAGTGAATCAGTGAGAAACAATGCAGAGCATGCTGAGCTTCTTCAATGGGTGTTGGCAATTGTCAAAAAAATTGACGCCAGCATGTTACACTATCAGCCACACCCACAGCAAAAAGTTCAGCCCTTTTTTGCATAACTTCTTAAAAATCAATTAGGTTTCTTTGCACACAGCTTGTAAAACTTGTATTTTAGGATGTTCAGATTGTTTTGTATCATCTTACTAAACAAATTTGCTCTTCCCTACAAAGTTGCTGATGATGAAAGAGAGGCTACTTCATCTTCCTGTCTCTGCGTCATGTGACCTGCTCTGCACACTGTGTCGGGAAGCCCAAGCATCCTGGAAAATCTGTGCAGAAAGCAGTTAAACAACCAAGTGCTACAGTATTTCAAAGCGTAAATGTACATTTAACAAAGAACAACAACCTTTTTTTAACAGTTTTTTGCATACACAATTACACATATATTTCAGGGAAATGTGTTAGATATGTTAGATATGACCTCCAAACCTTTCAGATGGTTTTCAGATTCAAAATTCAAGCTCAAAAATACCTTATGGATTCCAAAGGGAAATTAAATGTTGTAACTCATTGTAATTGAAATTATTCAAGTATGTGAAACTGGTGTACTGTATCTTTGACCAGGGCTTCCTGAAACACTTGAAGGATAAATGGGTATAATAGCAACAATCTGATGGTTGAATAACCTAAGTAACAATTTAAACACAATAAATATCTCTGTAGTTGAGCTCATATGTCTATTTATTCAATAATTAGCAGAAAAGGGATTTTTGACTCGAAAATGTTGCTTATTTTGTCAAAGTAGTTTTAGATTACTATAAAATGGAATTAATTAATTACTGATGAGTCCCACTTCTATTAGACAGACAGATGTATATGTATATATATTGTTTTTTTCTGTACAGTGAAACTGGCTGAACAAGGCTTACTCAGCTGCAGCCAGAGGGCTGGAGGTGAAGGCAAACATAAATTTGCAACTGTGTACACACAAATAGAGACACACAGTACCTAACATTGTTGCTTTGCCTGACACTCCAACCCACACAGTCGGGGGATCTTGATGACATCCTGGTTTATTAATATTATGCAGCGTTCTCATGTTTTCCTGATACACAAATCCTTCCTGAAACAGAATGAAACTTCTGCCCTGCCTGTTCCACTGGAAGCAGATAAATATTTTAGCAAAGTGGACAAAGTAGTTGTCCATTATACTATATTTTTAATAGTCATTTATATATTTATAAACTGCCTGAAATAGTAGGTTTTTCTGCATCTCTGGCTACATTCACACAGCAGGTCTTGATGTTCAGTTCAGAGTTTTTGTAGAAATCAGATTTTTTTGTGTGTGTGGTTGTTCATACTACTAATTAAATGTGACCACAATCAGACTGAACGGTTTACGACCTCAAAGCGACTCACGTGCAGAAGAAGACGTCACCCAGCTGCGCACTGTTTACAGAAGTAATAATGGCCACCGTCGAATACGAATCGATTTAAAAGACAGTTTTGTCACGAGATCAGAAAAAGACAAAGGGAACTTATAAAAAAGGAAACACATTGTTTATGTCTGAATTTTCCGCATCAATTCTGCATCTTCTGGTGCAGAATTATGACGAATGTCTTATGTCGATGACTTAAAAGTCAGATAAAGTGGGACATGACCGTTCTGACTGACAAATGGATATTTTTGTGGGTGAAAAGATCAGACCTGGGCCGTTCAGACTGTGGTGAAAAAGTCGGATTTGCATCACATTTTGCCTGCTGGTTGTGTTTCACTCAGAAAATGGGAAGTCTTTACAAAAAGTCTACAATTTTGTGTCATTCTCCTAAATAAAAAAGTTAATTCAGGACAAATGGTAACAGATGACTCAACATGTTTCTGAAGTCTTAGTGGACGTTTTTCTTATTTCGTCTTTTTCTTATCACATCTTTGTTCATTGCTAAAATTAGCAGTTTGCTCTTAATTAGCAATTTTGTAAAACATCTCCTGTAACTGTCAGACTGGATTGGTAAGCCAAGTTAAAACTCCAGTTAGTTGTTCATTAGCTGTGCATTTTGTGTGAAATTTTTAAAAACTACAGGTTTCTATACGTTTTGAGAGGTTGTAAGAAAGTCATCT